CAAGTGCTGAGGTGGCTCGGTGGCCCATTTGCTAATCAATTTATCATGCCGTTGCCTTTACTGTCCAACAATGCAAAGTCTCTTGATGCCAGCAGCTGGAGTTGATTCATTATTATTCTGCTCTTTGTCCATCCAGAACAACTTTTGCAATTCCTTATAAGGAGAAATGTATAATGAGGACAACAGTCAGAACATTCCATATATATGTCACCATCAAAGTTAAACGAGGACGAAACATCTGACACTTGCACGGATTCTGTAATGCTCTCCGACATTTAGTTTGCCCTCAAAAGATGATTTGTTTTTTTTGTATGAACATCGCTGAGTGCTGGGCAACCCATTTTGAACAATCTTGCCAGTTTTTCAACATGATGCCTGAAAGCATCACCACTTTACTATAATATTTTCACTCATATTGGACATTCTTTAAGCGACTTTTGGTGACTGCCGCGATACAGACAGACAGACGGACAGACGGAGGGGCGGATAGCGCTCATGCATTCACCGTAGTTTGAACGCATTAAAAAGTCAGATTCAGAATATTTCTTTATACTGGAGGAATCCGATGAGCTACAGATCTCATTTTTCACACAGCGGAGCACGAGGCAATGCTCGTGTCCGCAGTGCTGCAAATAAACGTTCCACATTCATGGATGCAACCAACCCCAGGATGTGAACCCTTGACCATCTGATTGTAACCACTCTGACCACTGCTGCCAAGCCAGACAAAGTGAACTCCAGCTGCTGGCACGAAGAGATGCTGCATCGTTGGACATTGCGAGAAGAACGTGATTGTGTGTTTCCGGGTCACCGGTGGACTGAAGTACGTAGGCGAAGTGAGAGGTATTCTGGATGTGGTGCGGCTGGGTACGAAGTTATTTTTTTCCGGGTCGCTTAGCAAGGTTGGCTACGTACGGCGCGAAAGAAGTTCAACATACAAACATACGAATGGACTCGGCTGTAATTGAACCCTGAAATGTTCACCTATCGCTGATTTCGCCTCAAAACCAGGCCCATGGGCAGATGATAATTTTCATCGCCAGTGTCCCTGCCACTGCCAGCACTGCTGTATGCGGGTCTACCCATGCCAGTCCTTGGGCTCGTTTCACCGTACGTCGCCATGCTGGTCATTGCGGGGGAGCGGTGCAGGAGCCATTCACATATCACTCACCACTGAGATTATTCACGACCCAAAGTCAAACTCGGGCCACCGGGTTCATCGTGCAGTGCGCTTTGAACTCCCGTGCAACTGCTCCATCACCTCCCCTTATTGTTGCTACAGTCCTGTGATTTATTCGTTTTACAATATTATTTTAGTTGTCCACATTGTATTGAAATTTCAATTTTTTGTTCTGAATGTACAGGAATTTTTACTATTTTAACGTTTATTAGGCTTCGCTTGTGCTTAATGGATATTAATTTCTCCACTGTATGTGTCGCTCCTTGACTCGCAGGCGAGCCAGCGGGCTGGTTAGCGGACTGTTGTTTGTGAGCAGGTGAGCTCGCGGGCAGATGAACTCGCGGGTTCGCCAGCGAGGGTCACCGTGTTTACCGTGTGTGTTGTGTGCTGTACGTGCCGTGTGCGGCGTCCATCCACAGCGGGCCCTCTCCTGCGAAGGGCCGCTGCGTTTCGGCAGTCGCGCCATGCTTCAGGAGAGTAGCGTGTGGTGGCACGCGCGCCAATTGTCTCCGCCGCGACCACCCCATCCTCTCTCGCCGTTTGTCATTTCTCTCCACGTGAGTCGCAGCCGTCGTGTGTTTACTGCTAAACTATTCTTTGTTGGTTCTATGTTCTTACGAGATATATACACACACAAAGACAAAGATCCCCCCCGTATAGCCTTAACAGACTGTTGGGGCAAGTGCTGTTAGTGAGCACCTAATGAAGGCCGGCACAGCACACGAGGGTGTGGGTGGTTAACACCACGCCCTGCCACCATCGTCTCCCTCGTGGCGATGTTTACGAATTGCACCAGATACTCATTTGAGGCTGAGTCGACCTAGGAGAGGCCCAGGACTGGTTCAAAAAGTTGTTACTGCTGTTGGCCGTGAGCGGGGATCCAACCCGGGCCGCCGGGTTGGTAGCGTAGCGTGCAACCGCCGGGTTGGTAGCGTAGCGTGCAACCGCCGGGTTGGTAGCGAAGCGTGCAACCGCCGGGTTGGTAGCGTAGCGTGCAACCGCCGGGTTGGTAGCGTAGCGTGCAACTCCGGGTTGGTAGCGTAGCGTGCAACCGCCGGGTTGGTAGCGTAGCGTGCAACCGCCGGGTTGGTAGCGTAGCGTGCAACCGCCGGGTTGGTAGCGTAGCGTGCAACCGCCGGGTTGGTAGCGTAGCGTGCAACCGCCGGGTTGGTAGCGTAGCGTGCAACCGCCGGGTTGGTAGCGTAGCGTGCAACCGCCGGGTTGGTAGCGTAGCGTGCAACCGCCGGGTTGGTAGCGTAGCGTGCAACCGCCGGGTTGGTAGCGTAGCGTGCAACCGCCGGGTTGGTAGCGTAGCGTGCAACCGCCGGGTTGGTAGCGTAGCGTGCAACCGCCGGGTTGGTAGCGTAGCGTGCAACCGCCGGGTTGGTAGCGTAGCGTGCAACCGCCGGGTTGGTAGCGTAGCGTGCAACCGCCGGGTTGGTAGCGTAGCGTGCAACCGCCGGGTTGGTAGCGTAGCGTGCAACCGCCGGGTTGGTAGCGTAGCGTGCAACCGCCGGGTTGGTAGCGTAGCGTGCAACCGCCGGGTTGGTAGCGAAGCGTGCAACCGCCGGGTTGGTAGCGTAGCGTGCAACCGCCGGGTTGGTAGCGTAGCGTGCAACCGCCGGGTTGGTAGCGTAGCGTGCAACCGCCGGGTTGGTAGCGTAGCGTGCAACCGCCGGGTTGGTAGCGTAGCGTGCAACCGCCGGGTTGGTAGCGTAGCGTGCAACCGCCGGGTTGGTAGCGTAGCGTGCAACCGCCGGGTTGGTAGCGTAGCGTGCAACCGCCGGGTTGGTAGCGTAGCGTGCAACCGCCGGGTTGGTAGCGTAGCGTGCAACCGCCGGGTTGGTAGCGTAGCGTGCAACCGCCGGGTTGGTAGCGTAGCGTGCAACCGCCGGGTTGGTAGCGTAGCGTGCAACCGCCGGGTTGGTAGCGTAGCGTGCAACCGCCGGGTTGGTAGCGTAGCGTGCAACCGCCGGGTTGGTAGCGTAGCGTGCAACCGCCGGGTTGGTAGCGTAGCGTGCAACCGCCGGGTTGGTAGCGTAGCGTGCAACCGCCGGGTTGGTAGCGAAGCGTGCAACCGCCGGGTTGGTAGCGTAGCGTGCAACCGCCGGGTTGGTAGCGTAGCGTGCAAGCGCCGCATTACCACTACTCTGCTGTCCCCCCGACATATATAATGTATACACACACACACCTACACCAAAACTTAAATTTTACTTCTTCAGGACGGTGCGCAATGGTCGTGCTATGGGCATTCTGGCGCCCACCATAGTAATGTGGAATTTCCACCCCTGGCTCAGGGCCACCAATGAGCGTGAGCGGTGCCAGGGAGACACTCTCCCTTTACACGTAATCTTTCACTTAATTCCATGCCACCCGTAACCATCTGGTTCTAGGCAGTGCATTCCACTTATTTATAATTTAGCTTTCAGTTTGTTTATCACATCAGGATGCCATGGTTCGACTCCCTGAGCCGCAGGCATTTCCCTCTTGCATCTAAAAAAAAATGTTTAAAAAAAATCACAACAAAACCCACCTCTTGTGTGAATATATTTGTTCCACATGTGAAGTAGGAACAGTCGCTTCGCTTCTTCCTCTTTCAAAGCCAGAAGTCCTCATTGTTGCATGAGATCGGCCGCTCAGATATCCTCTCTGTCTCCACGACCGTCCGTTCTGTTCCTCTTCCCTAATTCACCGCCACTGTCTCCGTATCTACCGTTCACTGTTTCAGCGATTTGTTTATTTTACCAGGTAAGGCCCACTGAGCTACATAACTCTTTTTCGGAAGCGACCTGGCCATAAATGACAGCTCAACGAAGTTGCTTATCACGTGGAAATTTATAGCTAACAAATAGTAAAAACGCATTTTGATTCTAAGTGTGGAGGGGAAATCCCGGAGGATCCGGAGAAAAATCCACGCGACCACGGGGAGAGAGACACGCAAACTCGAAATATACAGTAGCAGGCATCAGGGTAGGGATGAAACCCACGACCTCCTGCATACCAAGCCACAGATGGCATCTCCACAAACTTTATATCTTAAAATATATTATTCTTATTCATCATGGGAGGTGGATATATGAATTACTTTTTTAGTCGAGAATTTATTCTCGACGTTCTAAAGTTTATGAAAAACGCATTCAATAACTGTAACGTGTGTTTGTATGTATGTATGTGTGCGTGCGTGCGGGCGTATAACATGACACGAGAATACATTTGTTCCAGAAAGGTATTGAGACAAAGCGTTAGGGGTCATCGTTGTGAGGGTCGTGTCGGACAGATGGACCTTGAGACCAAGTCAGATTCATCTGTTCCGTCGGGTTTCCCAAGGAGCAAGGCTGACAGTGTGGCAAGAATTACTCATTTGTTCCTCTGAAGGATAGAGATAGCGTATCCTCCAGACTCGACGAAACAATTATCCCCGTCCTTTGTGGTAAAGCAAAAGTTGGGAGTGTTGCAAATGAACAAAGACAGTGGACGACTTTGTCGTCTCTATGCGAGTCTTTGGGCCTACGTGAGTCTGTGGGTCTCTGCGAGTCTACACAATACAATGTAGATATTACGCAGCGTCTAACATGTGACCTCGATTCACGGTCCGGCTACGTACGGTGCGAAAGAAGTTCCAACAGCATACGAAAGAGGCAGCCAGTCATGGGCAGAGTTAAAAAGATCGTCGGCATGCATTTAAACAGGCAGCAGAACGTCTCCCAACAGTGTGGAGCGGCTGCATTTGTCACGTTTGTATGCCCATTCGTTTATTCAATTGCGAATTCAATTTGATAAAAGTCGTGAGCGGAGGTGGTGCCCTGCTTGGTGAGCTTACCGCGTAGAAAGGGCTGCTGGTACGGCGAGAAAGTCTCGAAGATGCTGTTGGACGCCATGGCGGGGTGACACCGGGAACTCGGCTCCTCTAGGCGGGGCAAGTCGTCTTGCCCTGCAGAAAGGTGGAAAGAAATAAAATTAAACATTCTAAATGCAACCCTCGCAAATTTAGGCTCCCGACCCATTTGCCCACCCACAAGGCGCCAAGTGAAGTCGAAACATCTCCCCGCGCTCAAACGAGAATTGGGCAGCGCTCCGAGCCACTGCTTAACATTCCACATTCCTTGTCGTGGGGGCCACGCACGGTTTCTCCACAAGACAACCCACTGGTATAGGTTCCACGTAGTTAAACCCCAAACCAGACCCGTGGCATCGTGGGGGCGGGGGGCTGAGCCCCCCAGCCTCTCCCCGCCCCCACACCTCTTGTAAGTTCTTATCGTCAAGTTCGAAAAATGTTGGTTGAAGGTGGCAGGACAAAGTTGAGTCTGATAAAGCGATGGGTGTTGCAGGTTGTCACACTGCAGGGCTCGCCTTATCTTAATCCAAGGCACTTTACAACGATTATACGTTTTTACGCAATTTGATAGTGGTTGAAATAAAGAGTGGGGTTTATTCAGAACGGTGGTGGAGTTATGGTCAGAATCAGAATCTGTATTTGCACCCGACAATACGAGGCATGGCCCGAAAACAGGTCGAGGGGCGATGCGTCCAGCTTCGTTTCCACCCGGCGACTTTTTGTTCTTTATCCCTTTCACGTCGCTGCCGTTGTCAAAAACCACATTCGTCGATCCCAAGCACCAACACTTATTTCATTCACCGGCCCCTGCCCCTGCCACACTGCGACTGCATCGTCGACCTTTGACCTACGTTCGGGCGCGCAGGATTCCTTGTTCGCGGTCATTTCATTTGTTTTATTTTATTCTCAGGGGCACAAGAGCTACGTTGCACTCGAGACATAGGTCACATTCAAGCCCACAAGGCTTGGGAAGGGGGGGGGGGGGTTTGGGGGTACCCATTATCGCAAACATTTACCCGCAAGGATAAAAGCGTGACGGCACAAGCTCGTGACAGCGAGACGCCTCTGCCAACATCGCGGACCGTCCGCGATCACTTTAGCTCCACTCCCGCTGGCATGCTCGCCCGCTTGTTCGCTCACTCGCTCGCCCGCTCGCTCACTCACCATCCACTCGCTTACCACTCGCTTACCACTCACTCGCTTACCACTCACTCGCTTACCACTCAATCGCACAAGCAGGGATGGTGTCTCGGCAAGTTTTGGGGATCGGATGAGATTATCACCAACGGCGCCTCCACTGCGAGCAGTGTTCATTTTGTAAACGAAATTTGCGACGAAAATCTTATAACATGAACGCATTTACAATTTTATCTTTACGTTGGCTACGTGCACTTTAAGGCGTCGTGTGAAGTTTGGAAGGCGAGCGAGCCCGCGAGAGGGAGGTCACGGGTTAACCGACCAAAACGATTGGCCAGTGGTGGCACACGCAGCACCGATGCCGACGTGCGTACGCGTATCGCTCGACGCCGACTGCTGCTCAACAGAGAGCGAAGCGCGACTGGCCGAGATGAAATAAACGAGTCTCAATGTAGACGCATGCCAAGATAATATCTCGTCACACCTTAGGACACTGCGGTGCAACAGGGACAGAGCAAACAAGATTTACCGGGTTCAATGTTTGTGTGAGTTGATAATATTGTGGGGGGGGGGGGGTAGGAGGGGAATTGCCTCCCCCTCACATTCATGTCTAACAACACAGTGGTGTACATTTTCGACCGCTTAGTCAGCGAGACTTAAGAGACTGAAGACTTGGGCTGGAATTCCACGCGCTTTTGTCGACGAGACTAAGACCGAGTCTTAAACGGAACATGCCAGCCGACTCAACGCGCGGGTTTTCCGGAGCCGATGTCGAGACTCGTAAGTGGCTATTGGGATGGTGGAGGGTTTCTGGACATCGTTACAAATTTGTATCGCGTCGCTTTGCGCAGCCTGACCCAGAATGTTCGCCGTTCGCCGCAGTCGCCGATGTCGTTATCGGCCGTGCCCACGGCCCAGTGGATACCCCACCACGCCGCTCGGCCTCGGACGCTCGCGAGATGAAAATAAAGTCAACAGCAGTTGTCCTGCTGGCTCTGCTGATCCCGACCATAGCAATGTGGAATTTCCACCACGAGCTGGAGAGTGCCTCCCGGTGCTCGCTCGAGGACGAAGGCCACTCCGTTTTGGATCGTGTCGCACATTTACCGGCTAAACGCAGATTACAATTTAATATGAAACCACAGCGGTGAGTAATATATCATCGTTGACATCGTAATCATGTGCAAATAGCCCACGAACACAACTGCGCGCCAGAGAATGAAGCCGCCGTACGACGATCTTGCACTCGCAAATTAAGTCACCAAAGTGTTAACAGCTGACACCAAGCTCCGGTAATGACACACCGCGAGGATTAGCTGGCGTCGGTGGAAAGTGACTGACCCGTCAACTCCAAACAAGACTGACTCAGTGGTCACGATGCCAGCCTCTAGCCCCCCCCTCTCCCCCTAGCCCCCCCCCCCACTCCTCCTCACCACTCCTCCTCACCACTTCTCACCACCACTTCTCACCACACACCTTCGTATGAACTCTGTCGGCCTATCTGGTGGAGGTGTGTGTGTGTGTGTGCGTGTGTGTAGTCCCTTCCGATATTAGGAAGCCACTGGAGTGATGCACTTTTAAATAATCTAGATTGAAAAGAATTCCTTTAGAACTGATTTTTGTGTTTAGTTTGTTGTCCTGCACCTCCAAACATCACGGTTGGCTACGTACGGTGCGAAAGAAGTTCATACAAATATACACACACATCCGTGCCAGTGTCCATCACCAACACAGAACAACTCTGGTTGGCAGCAGACGGTGACCACATCGTCACACACACCACCACCATAATAACACCGATATACGGGCCCCGCAGATTCTGCCCATCGACTCGCCTACCCAGTCACGCGCTAACCCACTCACTCAATCATTCATTTATTCAACCACCCACTCACTTTTACTTACCCTCACTGATCTACTCGTTTGTTCACTCACTCAATCACTCACCCATCCACTCACCTACCCACTCTCCAACTCAGTCACTCCCCTCACATGATCACGCACCCTCTCACTCACCCAATCATTTACCTACACCCCCACTAACTCACTCAATGACTCTCACTCGCTCACCCACCCACTCTCACTCTCCCATCCACTAATTCACTCAGCCACCCACCCACTCAAACATTTACCCCACTCATTTACTCACTCACCCATCTACGTGAAACTCCAGGATATGTCACAGTTCCACAGTAGTCAATTAAATTGCGCAAATGTTCCTGAATGCTTACCAAACATAACCATAGCACCTTTCAACTTGGCAGTATGAGATTGGTGTGAATGCCAAATGCGTCCGTGCCTATCATCACCTGGTGACTGCAATCACAATGCTAAAACAGTCGATTTGTATCGTCATTTGCATTTGGCATATATCCTTGTTTGTTTACATATTTAGGTACCAAAATCTCCCTATATTTGTTTAATTATGTTAAATGTTTCTCCGGCTTACTTTTGTAATGTGCTCCGTGTTCAACCTGGAGGTTGTCTGCCCCGGCCGATTTGTGCTGCAGGATAATTTATATTTTGGCCAATATTTTCAATTCCTCATTGTGTGTGTTTGTTGAACTTCTTTTGCACCGTACGTAGCCAACCGTGATAATTGTTCCGATTTTTTTTCTTTTCTCATTGTTGTGACCCGGATCGCTCTTGCAAATGCTACTTGTTGTCATTATCCGGGTTGAACAAAACACGTTCCTTCAGAGTGGGCAGATGGGAACTTGGTTGGACATCGCATTCGTGCACGACAGACCGACAAATAATCCCTGGTGGGCAGTGTGGAACCTGTTGTTCCTACCTGTAATAAACTTAAACTTGCTATGGCTGTGCAGGTCAGCAGCTTTGTCAACAGCAGGAGCAGCGGCAGCATTGACAGCGGCAGTGGCCGCAGGAGCAGGAGTGGCAGCCGCAGTGGCAGCAGCGGCAGTAGCAGTGGTAATGGCATCATCAGCGGCAGCAGCGGCAGTGGCAGCAGCGGTAGCAGCGGTAGCAGCAGTGCCAGCAGCAATGGTAATGACATCAGCAGCAGCATCAGCAGCAGTAGCAGCAGTGCCAGCATCAGCAGTGGCATAAGCAGCGGTAGCAGCAGGAGTGGCAGCAGCAGCAGCGGCAGCAGCAGCGGCAGCAGCAGCGGCAGCAGCAGGGGCAATGATAGGTGCGTGCCAGAACAACAAGAGGCACCTTACGAAACAAGCGGCGAGTGAGTGGCAGGCAGAGAGATATTTTTTCTGCAACGCCAAACGGCCGGTTTGAGAAGCTCTCATTTCCTCCGAGCTGGCGCTGGCAGAAGTGACACTATCTGCGCCGCACACGTGCATCCGAAACCGAGCCGCGAGAACTTCTGCCTCGTAAATATCAGCGCTCGGGCCACGCTCACGACTGCAGATGTCAAATTATTAGTTTAAAGCGGCCACGATTAAAAACGTTGCCTTGCAGATACCCCCCCCCCCTTCTCACTGTTAAAAATCTCCAGTGGGCAGAGAATCAAATTTGCTTGAATGAAAGCTGTACTCGTGTTTTAATTAAAACGCTGAGCGCCACAAAGTACGACTCTCAACTCACAGTGAAATTTTCAAATGAAGAAATATTCATGTTAGAGGAACAAGATTTATATTTTTAAAATCGTCTATTTTATAACAGTCTGCGAGGCCGAGTGTTTAATTTTAGTGATGACATGACCCTCTTTGTGCAGAAGTACATTTCCAAATTTATGAAAGCTGGGAAAGAGTTGAGTTTTAGTGAAAACAAAGAACTGACTATATAAGCCCCCTCCTTCTCTTGCTGGCCTGGTGGCTCAACGGGGGAGCGAACGGCTCGCAACGAGAAGGTTTCGAGTTCAAACCCTGGTTGGGGTTAGCGGGTGACTTGGCCCGTCATCCCTCCACCGTCAATAATAATTGAAGTACCGCTTTCTGGAGAAGCCAACGGTGGTTGCCCTATGGATAAACACGCCTCCGCCATCG